ATCAATTCGGGGGGTGAGGTGTATTGTCCGCGTAAGTTTGTAAAAATTGAAAGAGTAATTGGTGGAGACTTAACGTGCCAAGTAAGCAGTTCCGTGACAGAAGGATCATTTGAGTTCTGGAAAAATAAAGTTTAAGGACGATTTGGGTCCCTTCTGAAGTCAAAGGATGAACTAAGTTTCAAAAAGAAAGTTTAGGGACCAAATTGGGTATTAAACCAAAAATAACCAAGGAATCGGCCAAAAAAAAAAAAAATTTTTACACAAGGAGCATGATCTTCAGCATTTCAATTTTCCATTATATTGGAATCAACTTAAATTTACTTTACGAAGACTGCAAAAAAGAAAAAAGAAGCTTCACTCTAAATATCAGTAAATGCAGATTAAAAATATTAAATAATGCTGCTACAAACAACTAGGACGTTGTAATTTGCACCCAGTAATGGTTTATTCCGAAGTAAGTTTGTTACACCCCTCTCTCCAACAGCAGCTCTTTGCTACCCTGGCCCCTATGCCTTTAGATCTCAGCATGGGCAACATTATTAGGTTGGTTATCCAATGGCATGTATTGTGCCATTATAGCACGTATCTCAGAATCCATGTATCTCTGCACAAAAGTTTAATGACAAGATGAAAATTGAGTTATTTCAGTTTGCAATATTTTTTGTCAGTTTTGAGTTATTTTAAATTGATAAGATAAAATATGTCTAAATTGGGAGCAATATTACGGAAGGTCAGAGGCATATTTAGATCATATTGCAAGAAATCATACCCGGATCCTGTACTTGTACATGGCATACCCTGCTGCTCCAGTAACAGCCAAGCCAAGAAAAATTACCCAAACAAAGCCCCAGCTCACCTCAGTGTTGCCATCTTTACCTGCACATTTTTCCAATGAAATGAGTTAGCAATGTCTAACGATGTTAGAAATGTGAATAAATAAACAATGGTTTAGGACTTACTAATGCACGTGTCATGCTCATGCATGTACAATAAACCACCATTGCAGCTGCACTCGTAACTGCCCCATGTATTTTTGCATTTGCA